AAAAGAACGGGAAGAAACGAAAACCGCGAACCGTTGCCACGAAATTACACCGCGCAATTGGCGAGTGTGGAGTGCGAGCAGCCTTAGAAGGATCCTCGGCAGGACTGACGGTGTTTCAAAGCGTCCGATGCGCCACAGGACGACGTAGTCGCGGCGCGATTGTGCGCGGGCGCACGCCGCTTCGACGAGTTCTACAACAACGTTCGCACGGCCACGCGAACGGCCAAATGAGAGGCGGCGAGAAGCCGCAATTATTTCACTTACCGCACTGCCTCGGAAATTTCCGACCAATTACTTTGCAAAGTTACTGCCCCGACAGCATTTTGCCGAATTTTCGGAATGCCCGTGCCGGTGACAAATTGTCTGCGGATATTATGCCACTCGTGGTATTCGCTGCAACGTGCAACTTGCAAACCTATGCGCCTCCCCCCCCCCCTCCTCCTTTTGTTTTAGTTTCGTTTCATTTGTTGTCGTTGGATCGTTGGATTTCATTGGTATCGCGTGAAAAAAAAGGAACATTATCATTTGAAATACCAAAAGGTAATCCACGTGTGCGAAATACTTTAAATACTCTGTGAATATATTGAAATTATTCTGATTATTGAAATTATTGGTCTTCGAATATATCGGATATATCGAAATTGAACCAACTGAAATAAATCGTCAGTCCTACGTGCTCGTATTAGTGCAAAATTTTATTCGTCAAATTTCGTATATACCAAAAATTCCACAATAATTCGTAAGACTTTTTTTAGTTCTAAAAAGTCGTTCGTAATGTTAAAATAAAACCAACTGAAATAAATCGTCAGTATTCTATGTACTCGTGTTAATGCAAAATTTCATTCATCGTAATACCAAAAATTCCACAATAATTTGTAAGATTTCTTTCAGTTATATCTAAAAAAATCGTTCCTTCCTAATACTGAGACTAAACCAATTGTACTCGCGTTAGTGCAAAATTTTATTCGTCAAATTTCGTATATACCAAAAATTCCACAATAATTCGTAAAACTTTTTTTAGTTCTAAAAATCGTTCGTAACGTTAAAATAAAACCAACTGAAATAAATCGTCAGTATTCTATGTACTCGTATTAATGCAAAATTTCACTCATCGTAATACCAAAAATTCCACAATGATTTGTAAGGCCCTTTCAATTCTATCTAAAAGGTCGTTCCTCTTTATCATATCAGCAGCGTGGGATCGAGAGATCAACGACATGTTTGTAAGAAGGCGGCCATTCTTGGCTGAGTAGGTACGTACTTATTTTTTGTGTTTCTTGTTGGCGAGAGGAGGAACCGCGATAAGGAGGCCGACAAAAGCTTCGAGGGTCAATATCGAAAGGTGGTTTTCCCCGATCTTCGATCGTCGCCGCGCATTTTCAACAGGGGTTCGAGCACAAGAAAAATCACAAGCAAAGCGTGTGTACACCGGGGGGTGAATATTATAAAAGCACTCGAGGAAGGAGAGAAAGCTGCTGGCCTGGTGATGACTGCGGAATCGGCGCCGGTATGGGAAAGGTACATGAAAATGTTCGACCCTCGGTGGAAGTCTTTTTCTTCCCCCTCACCCCCCAACGCGATACGACAACGTGACGAGTGTCGGCACAGTGCAAGCACACACCGTAACCCCCGACTGGATCTACATATTGATAGTAAATGCTCAGCGCACCAGAAGATTTTTAATGCATGCTAAGTAACTCGTGGCCATCTAATCAGATTTTCCGGCTACGGGGGTAGGGGAGGGGAGGGGGTCGCGTTAATTAAACGATGTAATTCACCGAGTCTGAAATACGCGAATCGTTAATGCAATCTGTTTTCTTCTTCAACGGATAGAAATATTCTGTTCGTTCAAATTCTGCATCGTTGGGATTTCTAATACTACTACGATCTCAAAGATCCGACGTTGAGATTCTTCTCATTAAGAATACGGCACTTGGACTAACGACCAACGACAAACCGTAGCGAAGTGAAGAAATTCCATTTCTAAAGGAATTCTTCGATCAGTACAGAACAAGGAAGATCGATACGTTCACATCTCTATAGGCACACGTGACGACGAAGGGGTGATTAGAGGGTCCTCGAAATAATTAATAAAGCCACGGCAAGCTTATGCTTGTCTGCTTTCCGATTTCTCGTTTCCCATTCAATGGGCCTTCCCGGCGACTTACTTTTCCGTTTTCACGAATTCAATATAATAATGCAGACCGACGACCCTGTGGCTTAGTCCTTTAGGATCAGTGGCTCCCAATTATTTCGGCAAGGAAGCACCGCTTGCACACCAACGAAGAAACGTGGAAATTATCGAGATACCGATGACAACCGCTACCAACTTCCGACCACGCAAAGGGTGGCTTACGGAAAGCGTTATTGCCATGTCACTGGCTTCAGGATTATTACGAATCACTTTTTCCACATGAAAGTGAACCCCTCTGTACACAAAGAGCTCTCATATGTGTTCCTCTATCTCTTTCTCGTTCGAACGGAACCTTCGTCGATATACGTATCGATTATTTAATTGGTTTTCTTTTTCTGCTTTAGATTTACTAAACCTACTAGGTCGATCAGCTCCGATGAACCACTTGTCACTGGTATCGGTAAAATACCAGTTCTTCAATTTTATCAAACGTCAAGTATGTCTTAATAACAGATGAATTATTATTTTCCACAAATTATTCTTCAATTATTTTCTACGATTTCAATCAGCAATTTGCTCTACTTATATTTATATAATATAAACGACAATCTAACCAAAGAATGTGCAATACGAAGAATATTACATGTTATTATATAATATGAAAGAACCAAAAAAAATAGTTAATGATGCAAATATTATCAAAAATTATGGAAATGCCTCTTTTTGACTCGAAGATTTAATGCTTGAATGTACAAAATGTGAAAGTAAAAAGGAAGCTAACCAAACTTTTCGATGAGAACGCCTCTATAAAAATTCAAATATTTCTAGAATGCGCGCGCAATCGACAATGGCTGATTCAAATGCACGCATATTGCAATAAACTCTTCCATTTGAATCGGATCAACTGTGACACAAAATTTCCGTAGATAACGTTCAAATTTCGAATAAATTTCATTGACTTGGTGTAAATCAGTCGAAACATAAATATCATTAACATTAACAGGATTTGAAATTTGTTGCATTGAAGGTTAGAAACTCGCATGCAACGTATAACCCAACGTTTTCTCCGTCGTTAACAAAAATGAAAATCGTTCGAACATATAGGTTAAAATTGGCTTGAAGGATAATTTGTTATACAAGCTGGTACAACATTTGCGACTGAGTTTGAAAATGTACGAGTAAAAGGAAGAATTCCATTATGCAGAAAGTTCTCGTTGACTCTTACCTGTTTCAGCTCCGGTGCACGAACGTCTCGCTATAATCGTCCTCACGGTTTACCAAATACGGAACAGGATAAAAGATAAAAGAAACAGATTCACTCGCAGAGTCAATATCACTGGAAGGAAAAAGAAAGAGTCGACACGACATTCGAACGGGACGCGCGTAACCGTGTTATATCGCCGCGCGCGGTTTCGCGACTGAGGGTGGTGAACGACGCGGAATAAATGGCGAATGAGTTCGATTCACGTAAGAAGGATATTCGAATTCCTCGCGAGTGAAACGGAATCTCTAGGAGGGAATCGCTTCCTTCCATATACTCGACAGAAACCAATTTCTGTTACACGCCGTACAAAGACCTATTCCACTCGAAAGATATTAAATTCGCGGGAAACCGTGCAATATTTGAATTCAGTATGCTTCAGGTAAGAAGACATTCAACCTGTTTCCGTCTTAAAATGTAACTTCTCTTGCAAACATACAAGAGTTTCGTGAGAAATAATTTATTTATTTATTGTTTAAACAATGTATGCGTACGTAAAATAGATATCATTTTCAAGAATATCTTAAATACCAGTGCATTTCTATCTACAAGGTATAAAGTGTCGCCATCACTCGGTAAGAAACAACACTAATAGCCATTCTATTTGATGGTATGTAAGATTATAGACAAGTGTAAGATAAATTTATCACTATTGACTAAAGCACAGACGAGGTATGTGAATAGACAATTGCATCCAATGTATTTTCTCGGCCATGGTAATTTTCGTGTCACATTCTGTTGTACCGATTTTACGACCGCAGCACTACTATTAGTGAAAATTAAAATTTAAAAAATATGAACAATGTTGCCAGTTTTGTTTCGAGAATTATTCATTGAATTGAACGTGGTGGTACTTAT